AAGGGTTTTCGTGGAATGAGAGAGATGGCCCCAGGTAGGAGGGTCAGGATTGTCGCTAGCAGCTAGCGCAATTGTCACTAGCGGGCAGCGATTTGAGTTGCCTATCTCAACGGCGTTGTGGCCGGATCGGAGCTGGGTGACTTAACGTCCCTGTTTGTAGTTACATAGTTGTAGCTAATTATAACAAAGATTCATTAGATTACGTTGTCGGAGAGTCGGGGTGAGCCCTCTGTTGTTAGGTAAAGCCACAAAATGTAGTTCTCATGTAGTTTAAACAAATTCATTCTGTTTTGATTTTTATTTGTGTTTTTCTTTTTTTTCTTAAAAACAGAGAGAGAAAACATGTCTTGTTTTCAAATGTTAGAAGTCACCGCTGTTCAGAGCAGTAACTTAAAGGAACGACAATGAACCATACAATTACATATAAACACACATTTGCAACAGACTAAGGAAATGATGGGATGCTCGATGGGCTGATGAACAATGACATAAAAATCTATAAACTATAAAAATAATAATTAATAAAAAAACATGAACAACTTGTGGGATCGACATGGACAGTGTCTGTCACAACACACATGTCCATGACTCCATAGAAACACTTCTTCCTCCATATAAATACTGCTCATTTAATCACAAAATTGACAACGACAACGCCTGTATGCGTCGTTCACAAGGCATAGGCCTGACTCTGAAAGAAGACAAACCCGATAGCGCCACCACCCATACCCTCGACAAGGAATCAAACGGGTGGAGTACGGACGGTCGAGGTGCGGGTGGTGCTGCAGGGGCAAAGTCTATCAATCGGTCGAGGACGCCGTCATCCTCGGTCACTGCTCCGGTCCCCTTTCCGTCAGTGGGTTCCATGGAGATAGCCCGGCCGCTTGCACGTAGCGTGGCGCGAGGCAGCGAGGCCCCGGCAGGGCGCCCCAGCGCGGCCGCGGGGGGCCCGGGGCCCAGGCCCACCTGGCAGCCCTGCAGCAGCGCCGCGCCGGGACCGTCGCCGGCGGCCGGACGCCCTGAGATCACGCGCTGGACGCGTCCCTCCCGGCCCGACCCGACAGCACACCGTGCGGCACAGGAAGGGGGGGAGGCGCCGAGCACTTAGGCCCTGTCCCGTCCTGTCCGGTCTAGTAGCTGCCGGAGCCCGAGGGCGCGCCGTACGACCCGGAGGGGGCGGCGGGGGCGGGCCCGGGAGCGCCGTAGCTGTCGCCGGGGGCGGAGGGTCCAGAGCCCGGGGAGGGTGCGCCGTACGACGAGCCGATGGAGTTGGGGTAGCCCTCCTGCTTCTGTGACAAAACAAACAAAACAAAGTGAAGATAAAACAAAATCGGCGCTATGCACGGGTTGTGATCTGAATAATGCGACGAAAACCAGGCGATCTGCTTGGGGGACATCCGGTGGCGTGAAGACGCGGGGGGAAGCATTCGAATGATTCAGGGGTTCCCGTTGCTGGACAATGGCGGGCGTCGGTGTTTGCGAGAGAGTAAACTCGCTTGGTGTTTGCATAAGGCCAGCAAAGCTCCGCTTACCTGGGTCTTGTACCGGATGAAGTACACCTCGGGCTTGGATGGCTTGGTCGGCGGCTGAGTGGGGATGTTGATCTCGGGCTGCTCCTCGGGCTTCTTGACGAGCACGTAGATGAGCGTCTTCTGCTCGTCCTGAGGTGGCAGCTCGATAGTGGGCGCGGTCGGCGGCGGCGGGGTCGGCGCCTTGATGAACACGATCTTGTAGTGCTTCTGTGGCGGCGGCAGCGGTGCCTGCGGCCTCCTGTAACACGGATGCAAACGCGGGGCTGAGCCGAGGAGTCACATGGTCACGCGGAGGGAGGGAGGGACTTCCCCGCGCCGAGCGGACGGAGCGGCCATGCGGGCCAG